AAAAAGAAATACCCCTCAACACAAGTCATGGATTTTTATCATATCGCCCTTACAGGCTGACACTCAAACATTTGGCTGCAAATTGCCTCTACTCTGGACATTGTCACACATGGCTGAAGACTTATGCAAGAGAGTTGTTTAATAAAGACATGACACTTACACATACACAAACACGAGTTTTACAGAAGAAAAAAAATGGATCCCACCTTGAAGGCTTTTCGGAACAATATTTCGTAGGAAAACATCTTTAGTGTGGATATATTTCCTGCAGCCAGTTTCCAGCCATGCCTACATGTCTCACAATTAACACCAACAAGCTTTGCTCCACACACGGTTAGGCTATTGATTGGTTCATGGACGGTGGATAATGTAATTATACGGACTTTGGCTGCTTTGAGCTGCCTCATGAATTAAACATGAGGTAAGTGCAAAAACCACTTATCATGTGATTATTATATACTAGTAGGATGGGATGACAACACAGTACAATGCTTTATAGGGTCAATCACCTGTTAGTGTATTACTTTTGGTATGGAACAGAAGAAGGATGCAGGTACTGAAATGCAACATCATAATTTACAACAATTTTGCTTTCAGAAAACAGACATATCTAGATGAGAGATTAAAATAGAAATTTCCAAATCTTGTGAATCATATATTTGGAACAATTCAGAGTCTACTTGTCTGAAAAAATAAAGAAGAAGAATGAAACAACAATGCCCTAGCATGATTGTATTAAGTGAAAAGAACAATGTCCAAGGGAAAACAATATCTTAAAACCTGACACTAACTTCTTTCATCCTTTTTCTTACATATTACTTTTTGGCAACAATTAACAGAAGATCAGCATACTTTGCTGCAATGATAATATAATTCCATGTCCCAGATGGTGAGTGTCAGGCTGTCTGTCTGCCTGTGGTGGTTTATAGTCTGTTGTTATTGGGGAGAGTCTGAGGCAGTGAGGCAGAGCCAGGCATTGGATTGTAGGCTATGCATGGGGGGATATGGCTCACAGTAGAGGTTATGCATGGAGGGATGGTTGACAGTACTGGAGACAGGACAAGGCTGTTAGGATGCTATGCATGGAAGGTTAACTAACACTAGGGGAAGGACAAGGCTGTTGCAGGCCCACAGACTGAGGGAAAACAAACATTAGAAAAAAGACAAATTTTAAGGAATTACAAGGTAAATTTTAAGGCATTATAAGGTTATTTCCAATCAAAATTTTTAGATAAAACTTGTCAGCTACTGAAGCTGAAATATTTTCTGTTTACTTCAAGAATGTGGGCAGCTTTGAACCTCAGGCAGCTGTCTTTAGACAGGGATTAGGAGAGAAAGAAACTGCAGTTTTAAAATCTTTGCTACTGGTTATCTCCTACTGAGTCCTAGTTCTTGTTTTTATACATTGACAATTCACATCAGATCGTTAGTGACCGTTGCCATGGCAACACGACAGCGCTGACGTCCTCCATCAGGACGTGTCACGGAGATCACGTTCCAAGGCATGATGGGTAATGAGCCGTGTAATTGACAAGGCAACAGGTGCTGTTTCCATGGAAACGTAATCATTACAGAGCAATAAAGCGCAGGATTGAAATGTGCTTCAGTCTATGTGTGTTAAGGTGAACTGATTGGGTAAGTACTCACAAAGAGTCTCCTGAAACAGCTTAAGAATTTTCCAATACTTTCTGGTTCTTAAACTTACAGCTTTTTATCTGTTTACAAAAATGTAAAACAACAGTCAGGCTCTAATTCTTTTCTACTGTTGTATGAATAGAGTGCATTTCTGACAACCAGTTTTATCCATAATTTTCAGTTTTCTGTTCTTAACAAAGTTCACTTAGTGTCATGCTGGTCTATTACTACATGTATCTGATGTTGTTCTTATCTTTTCCAGTTACCTCCCCCCCCTCTTTCTCCATCTCTGGACTGTTTCTAAAAAAGATAAACAAAAACATAAAGAAGCCTCACCTCTATGGGATGACTGTTCTTGAGTGCGTCCAGTTTTAGCGCTCCGGTGTAGTCAGTGGAGACAAACTGGGTCCAGATGTCATACTCAGGCAGGCAGAAGTCCACACACAGGTACTCAATCCACGACGCAAAACCCTCGTTCAGCCACAGGTGGGTCCACCATTCCTGGGGGGGGGGGTTAGGGAGAGGGGAAGATAGAAAAATTCCACATACATGTACTAAATCTGCCGGTTCCAGATCTTTTCCAACATTTTGTTACTTGTTCTTTAGCCCAGTCACACAGACAAAATTAGAATGGATGAAATTTTTTTAATTTATTCGATCAAATGGCAGTACAAATATGAGAAAAAAAATATATATCATCTATACACCATGATACATGGTAATATTGGAGTGAAATATAAAAATCCATTCAAGTGTGTCTGATCATGAGTTACCTTATTCATATACAGTACAAGCAAACCTTTAATTTACTATTATAATGATAGAATACTATCATACTTGTCTGATTGTATGTGATTGCTCACCATGGTAACCAGGTTCCCAAACCACTGATGGGCCAGCTCATGTCCTGTTGGAGGAGAGAGGAGAAAAATTTGGTCATCAAACTTTTTACTGATGTTCCAAACTTATAGTACAGATAGAACAAACCAGAGTTGCTCTAATATTAAGAACTCCAATACGATATCATGACCTACTCACCCACTACCAGAGCCACCCACTGTTTCGCATGGGAAGAAGAGTTCTCTGGGTCAATCAGAAGAGCAGTTTCCCTGGAAAAAAAGTACATGTATGCTAAATCATAGGCTTATGTCTACGCTTATCAGAGCTGTCCTGACATGAAGGTATATATGTTTACCAAAGGAAAACAATGTTTTTGCTCTTTCTTCTTCTGTTCCAAACACTGACCTGGTCAATGACCTGAACCAGATGTCTCTCACCATGGTAACCTGTGTTGGGTTACATCATGTTGCAATTATATAGCAGGAGGGATTTAGACTCCTGTCTGACCATATATATCAATGTGTTTGAGTAAGAATTAAGTGAGCAGACCATATGCAAAGGTAAACATTATGCATTTGCTTTGCAAATGTTACCTTTCTAGTTAATTCATTAATCTTTAATTTCATCTATGAACACAATGACCTCTCACCTGTAGGTCACAAGGCCCCAGTTCTCCATGGCTCCAGCTGCAAAGTCGGCGATAGCGATCAGGTCGATTTTTGGTAGGGGGTAGGGGATCTTGAAATACTCCTTGTAGAAGGGCAGAGTCTTCACAGCAACCTGGACAGAAAATATTTAAGACATTAAAAGAAAAGCNACATACATGTACTAAATCTGCCGGTTCCAGATCTTTTCCAACATTTTGTTACTTGTTCTTTAGCCCAGTCACACAGACAAAATTAGAATGGATGAAATTTTTTTAATTTATTCGATCAAATGGCAGTACAAATATGAGAAAAAAAATATATATCATCTATACACCATGATACATGGTAATATTGGAGTGAAATATAAAAATCCATTCAAGTGTGTCTGATCATGAGTTACCTTATTCATATACAGTACAAGCAAACCTTTAATTTACTATTATAATGATAGAATACTATCATACTTGTCTGATTGTATGTGATTGCTCACCATGGTAACCAGGTTCCCAAACCACTGATGGGCCAGCTCATGTCCTGTTGGAGGAGAGAGGAGAAAAATTTGGTCATCAAACTTTTTACTGATGTTCCAAACTTATAGTACAGATAGAACAAACCAGAGTTGCTCTAATATTAAGAACTCCAATACGATATCATGACCTACTCACCCACTACCAGAGCCACCCACTGTTTCGCATGGGAAGAAGAGTTCTCTGGGTCAATCAGAAGAGCAGTTTCCCTGGAAAAAAAAGTACATGTATGCTAAATCATAGGCTTATGTCTACGCTTATCAGAGCTGTCCTGACATGAAGGTATATATGTTTACCAAAGGAAAACAATGTTTTTGCTCTTTCTTCTTCTGTTCCAAACACTGACCTGGTCAATGACCTGAACCAGATGTCTCTCACCATGGTAACCTGTGTTGGGTTACATCATGTTGCAATTTTATAGCAGGAGGGATTTAGACTCCTGTCTGACCATATATATCAATGTGTTTGAGTAAGAATTAAGTGAGCAGACCATATGCAAAGGTAAACATTATGCATTTGCTTTGCAAATGTTACCTTTCTAGTTAATTCATTAATCTTTAATTTCATCTATGAACACAATGACCTCTCACCTGTAGGTCACAAGGCCCCAGTTCTCCATTGCTCCAGCTGCAAAGTCGGCGATAGCGATCAGGTCAATTTTTGGTAGGGGGTAGGGGATCTTGAAATACTCCTTGTAGAAGGGCAAAGTCTTCACTGCAACCTGGACAGAAAATATTAAGACATTAAAAGAAAAGCCTTTAATTCTATTAACATCTTTATCTAGACTGTCAGCACAGCTATATTCTTGAGGGAGGAAACAAAACAAAAGCACTTCAAGGTGCACAAAAATGTACCTCTTACCAACTTAGTTAAGTGTCCAGAGATGGTCTTTTGGCCTTGCATTGAGCAAACGCATTAAGGCTGCACTGATTTAATTTTAGGATGACATCCAAGTGCGCATTGATTTTCGCCTGTTCTCAAAAAACCTCTGAGGCTGAAGCCTGGGTGCCATTCTCTGTAGTCCATGGTATCTAGGGCAGTAACTACGGAGGATGGAAACCAGGATGCTAAGGCTCCATGGAACTTCAAAACTCAGTATGGTGAGGACAGCATGTGCCCGACTGTTGTAAAAGCAGTCAGGTACAACTGCAAATTTGCAATACCAAATTTGTATCCCTGTGGTTTAGCAGCTGGCCTTTCCACTCTTTTGCTGGCCTAAAATAAAAAAGGCCACTCGTTTAACCTTGAACTCACCTCCAGTGCAAACTTGCCCTGTTCCTTCTTTCCCACAGGTGTGTAGACCCTGACCAGCACCCCGTCTGTGTCCCTCCCCTCCACGTAGTCATACTCTCCCACTACAAACGCCAGTAGGTAGGTGGACATGACCGGCGTACGCGCATACCTCAGCTCCGTCAGGTCATCTCTGGACGGGACAGGCTTCTCTTCTACAACATTCTGTCACAAACAAGGAAACAAACATTACTTGTATGTTTCGATTTAAAACTTTTGGTTCAACACAAAGAAATTTCTCTCACCTAGAGCTTTTGACCAGTCACTCTAGATCTGGTCTTCTTCAGTAGACCGACACAGTGAGGCTTGTCATGTGGCTACTTCAAAGTGTGACATCAACACTGGGTCAGTCTACTGAGGAAGACCAGAGTGACTGGTCAAAAGCTCTAGGTGAGAGAACTTTCTTTGTGTTGGACCATGTAACTATCAACACAGATGAACATTCATGATAACATTACTTGTAACTCAAAGAACTTGCAGGAAAAAAAGTGCTGAAGATATGGTGATACTAGATAATATTCTGAGCAAGCTGAATATTCTAAAAATGATTTTTTGAAGCAATTTGCAGATAGAAAACTTAATACTATGAAAAAGTTCAACTACGTGGAATGTGTACTTGTACTTGTGAAACTTGATCTGTANCAATCCAATCAAAAAATCGTATATCAACAGATTTTTTGCTGTCTATACCAAGCACACGTATCATGTAACCGATAAAAATTTTTTTCCCCAATTCTAACCGCTAGTTCGATATTTACGTCATGTATAACTGCAATTACCCATGACCCGGAAGAGGCCCTCTTTTGGCTCACTGTGCCCGACCGCAGTACTCAGGTCAAAATAAGCGTATACGTCCGACAATCGCTCGGACGCCGAAACTTCCCTGCCTGATCCTGTCAGTAATAAACAGGCTTTCACCTCAAATCCTTTTTAGATCAGGTCTGAGTGATGAAAGGGATTTTATGGTGGACCTAAACTCACGCTGTTCAGGCACAATCATTTTTTTGTCGGGACTATTTTAGAGACTACACGTGCGGAGTAATTCCGGTATGAGACCTTATCCTGACCTAAGGTAAGGACCCAATACACAAACGTCACGCCCCCCTCCCACCCCATACGACGACACAACAGACGCGACGCAAACGAGCCCCAAAACACGTATGCAACAACAAAAATATACATATAGGAACAAGATAACGAACTAATGTATCTTCAAGAAAATAATAATGCTTCGAATAGCGGAAAAGTCACGATTTATCCGGCTGGAAGGCTCATTTTTGCCGACGATTCACAGCTAACAAATACACTGACATGTGCTTCGTGTTCATATGTGACATATCGAAGCAAAAACGGACAAAAGGGCACACAAAAACACGTTAAAACTCCCAAAATACTTGAATAAATACCTTACCTGGTTTTTTGGCCGGTCGTGATGAACTCTACGACGTCGGATGGCGTCAAATTTGCGGCGGAATGGCAGCGCTCCGGCACGTAGCTGCCCACGGCCGCCATTGTTGTTTACCCGGTTGAAGCCAAAATCGTCCGGAAAGTAACCCCATATTCCGCGCGTACAGCAGGATCGCACATATCCGAATCTTGCATCAAATTAAAGCTAATGTTCTGAATTTTCATATGATAGTTTCCTTTTAAAATTGCCCCGGGGGCAAGTTGTGGAGATATCGCACTTTGAAAGTTTCACATGCGGACAACTTTCGATCCTGACGTCGTACAGAAAAAAAGAAGGCATTTTTCGAAAGCTCGTATTCTTGGCTACAAATTAGTGGCTAGTTTTTTCTGGATTTTGCACACGGTACGCGCGGGCGGGCTCCGGCGATCAGCGCCTTCTTGAAATTTTCGGCACGGGGAGGGCGCGCACATGGCGCCGCCGGGAAAACTCGCGCGACCCGATCGGCGATTTCGCGCTTACCATTGAAGGTATCTTAATAAAACTTGGACAAAATAAGAGATAAAGAGTTCCTTCAACTACTGATACCAAATTTCAAGCATTTTTACTTTGTTATATACTCGTTTGAACGCTCTAAAATCGACCCATTTTCGGTGTTTACCGGCCCCGTAACAGGTATTATATGGCGTCCAATACCCCTACTAAAAGGCCAACAATTGCAAGCAAAAGTAGTATTTCCCAAGCTTTATCAGTCCATGTATTCCCAGGCCAAACAATTCATAGAGGCACAATATTTAGATTTTTGGCTATTTGTAGCAAAAACAAGCAAAATGATAGCCTTTGAGAACCTGCACCTGAGGGGAAAAATTGCAAATGAACAAGCACATTGGTACCAACTTGAAAGTACATTGAATCTCCAACTTGCAGGTCATTGGGCCATAATATTGTGGCACATAGGACTCTGAGTTACATGCATTTTGGCTATTTTACCC